TCACTTACTCTAAATATCATATCATCAGCAAATAGTGAGTGTTTGACTTCTTCTTATCCAATTTGTATCCCCTTGACCTCCTTTTGTTGTCTCATTGCTCTACCTAGAACTTTGGATACTATGCTGAGTAGAAATGGAAAGAGTGGACAGCCTTATCTTGTTCCTGATTTGAGTTGGATTGCTTTGAGTTTCTCTCCATTTAGTATTATGTTGGCTGTTGGATTACTGTATTTTGCCTTTATGTTTAGGTATGTTCCTTTTTTCCCTATTCTTTCTAAGACCTTTATCATGAAGGGGTATTGAATTTTGTTGAAGATATTTTCAGCATCTAATGAGATGATCTTTTTTATTCATTCAGTGTATTTATATGGTGGATTACATTGATGGACTTTCGTATGTTGAACTATTTCTGCATCTTTGGGATGAATCATGTGGATGATTTTTCTGATGTGTTCTTGGATTCAGTTTGCCAGTATTTTATTATTTTTGCATCTATGTTCATGAGGTAAATTTATCTGTCGTTCTCTTTCTTAGTTGTGTCTTTGTGTGGTTTGAGTATCAGGGTAACTGTAGCCTTGTAAAAAGAGTTTGGCAATGTCCTTTCTGTCTCTATTGTGTGGAACAATTTGAAGAGTATTGGTAGTAGTTCTCTGAACATCTGGTAGAATTCTTCACTGAAACCATCTGGGCCTGGGCCTTTTTTGGTTGGGAGACTGTGATAACTTTTCCTATTTTCTTAGCAGCTATAGGTATATTTAAGTCATTTATCTATTCCTGATTTAATTTTGGTATGTGGTACTTATCGAGAAAATTGTCCATATCCTTAAAGTTTTCCAATTTTGTGGAGCACAGGTTTTTGAAGTATGATCTGATGATTCTCTGGATTTCCTCAGTTCCTGTTGTTTTGTTCCCCCTTTTGTTTCTGATTTTGTTAATTTGGATATTCTCTCTCTGACTTTCAGTTAGTTGGGTTAAAGGTTTGTCTATTTTGTTGAATTTCTCAAAGAACCAACTCTTTGTCTTATTGATTCTTTGCATTGTTTCTTTTGTTTCTATTTTATTGATTATGTGCTCAATATGACTATTTCTTGCTGTCTACTCCTACTGGGTGAGTTGATGCATTTTGTTCCAGCACTTGCAGTTGTTCTGTTAATTCACTAATGTGGGATTTTTCTAGCTTCTTTATGTAGGGTTATAGTGCTATGAACTTTCCTCTTAGCACTGCTTTCAGTTTGGTTATGTCGTGCAGTCTTTTTCATTAAATTTTAGGAAGTCATTTCTTTTTTTCTTTATTTCTTCCTTGACCCAGCGATGGTTCAGTTGACCACTGTTCAATATCCATGTGTTTGTGAGCTTTCTGAAGTTAATGTTGCTGTTGAATTCTAACATTAAGCTGTGGTGATCCAATAGGCTACACAGGTTTACTCCATTTATTTTTTTTATCTGTTGAGTTTTGCTTTGTTACTGAGTATATGATCTACTTTTGAGAAGGTTCCATGAGGTGCTGAAAAGGAAGTATATTCTTTTGTGTTTGGGTGGAATGTTCTATAGATGTCTGTTAAGCCCATTTGAGTCATAACTTCTGTTAGTTCCCTTATTTCTCTATTAAGCTTCTGTCTTGCAGCCCTGTCCAGTGGTGAGAGTGGGGTATTGACATCTCCTGTTATTAATGTGTGGGGCTTGATTTGTGACTTAAGCTTTAGTAATGTTTCTTTTACAAATGAAGGAGCCTTTGTGGAATATATGGTTCAGAGTTGAGATTTCCTCTTGATGGATTTTTCCTATGTTGAATGTGAAATGCTCTTCTTTATCTTTTTTTGATTGATTTTAGTTTGAAGCCTATTTTGTTAGGTATTAGGACACCTGCACCAGCTTGTTCCTCAGGTCTATTTGATTCGAAAAATTTTCCCAACCTTTTACTCTGAGGTAATGTTTGTCTGTGAGGTTGAGGTATGTTTCTTATATGCAGCAGAAGTATGGATTCTGTTTTTGTATCCAATCTGTTAGCCTGTGTCTTTTTTAATAGATGATTTGAGACCATTTATACTAATGGATATTAAAGACCAGTGATTGCTAGTTCCTGTTATTTTTGTTTTTGTTGGTGGTGATGACATTGTGTGTTCAGTTTCCTTCTGTGGGATTTGCTGCTGTAAGCTTACCTGTTGCCTGGGTTCTTTTGGATGTAGGTGACTTCCTTGGGTTGGAGTTTTCCTTCTAGTACTTTCTGTAGAGCTGGGATTATGGATAGGTATTGTTTAAATTTGGTTTTATCATGGAATATCTTGCTTTTTCCATTTATGGTTATTGAAAGCTTTCTGGGTAAAGCAATCTGGGCTCTCTGGGCTTGTCCCTAGTGTCTACATAACATCTGACCAGGACCTTCTGGATTTTACTATTTCCATTGAGAAGTCAGGCGTAACTCTGATGGGTGTGCCTTTATATATTACCTGGCCTTTCTCCTTTGCAACTCTTAATATTCTTTAGTTATTCTGTATGTTTATTGTTTTAGTTATTACATTGTGAAGAGACTTTTTTGGTTCAGTCTATTTGGTGTTCTGTAAACTTCTTTTATTTTCATAGGCATATCCTACTTTAGGTTGGGAAAGTTTTCTGATATGATTTTGCTGAGTATGTTTTCTGTGCCTTTGAGTTGGACTTCTTCTCCTTCATCTATCCCTATTATTCTCAGGTTTTGTCTTTTCATGGTGCCCCAGACTTTCTGCATAATTTGTGCTAAGGATGTGTCTGATTTAAAATTTTCTTTGACCGGTGAACCTATTTCTTTTATTGCATCTTCAACACTTGAAATTCTCTCTTCTGTCTCTTATATTCTGTTGTTTATGCTTGCATTTGTGGTTCCTGATCATTTGCCCAGATTTTCCATTTCTAGGATTCCCTCAGCTTGTGTTTTTTTTTATTGCCTCTATTTCAAATTTCAAGTCTTGAATTGTTTCATTCACTTGTTTGATTGCTTTTTCTTTGTTTTCTTTAAGGGATTTGTCAGTTTCTTCCAATTTTTTGTTTGTCTTTTCTTTCATTTCTTTAAGAGTATGTTATAGTTCCTCTTTAAAGGCCTCAATGATCCTCATGAAGTTATGTTTTTAGGTTGTTTTCTACTTTATCTGTGTTGGAATGTTCAGTTCTTACTGTTGTAGAACCACTAGTTTCTAGTGATGTCATATTGCTCTTTATATTGTTGAGTGTGTTCTAGGTTACATTAATATTTTTATAAAGATTAAAGTAAAATTTTGGGCAAAATGAGTAATTGGGAAGATTTTGAAAACATTCATAACTCAGGATTTGATTTCATACACACAGTGGTTTGAATTCCACTCCTACCATATGTTGCTAGCTTGAGAAAGGGGCTAGTTAGAAACCTCTTGGCTTTAATGTCCTGTGTTACAGAAGCTTCTAGAACTAGATAGAGTAATATATATATGAAAAAATATGTCACAGAATCTTCTGACAGCAGTGACTTTAAGGGTCTTTGTCTTGTATTGATGTGTTTTCTAAAGAACTGAAGACAAAAGTTTTAGATTTCTGAGGAAAGAGGCAAATACATTATTGAAGTTGGAAATGCATAGATGTACATTTCCCTTATCAGACAATAAAATATAGCCAAACTACACCACACTCAAGTCCTGTTTAAAACTCTGCTCAGGTAGTTCTGGCTCCTGTAACCTGCACAGATTTGTTCAGCATACACACTTGGTGACTAAATTTGCCCACCAGCTGGAAGCTTTTTGATATAATCTCTATGCTTCCTGCTCTCATGCCTCCCATACCTTGCTGGCTCTAGCAGGCTCTAATCTAGTTCTTGTTCACACTTGGGGCTTAAACTAATTCTGTCTGCAATCTTACCTTGGCCTTTTTATCAAGTCTTTGTGAAAAGGCTAATTAATTTTGAGGAAGATCTGGTTGTGCCTTTCCCTAATCCTTAGACTGTAGTGAAAATATTTAGTATAGACATTACTAGTATGTCTGAACTCATAGTTTTTTAATTCACAGGAAATTATAACTTGGGAGAACAGAAAGCATAGGCATAGGAAAATGTTCCTCAATGGATACTAGTTACGTAGGATATAAATCTCTATGTTTTATTGCTAAATAGTATAATAAAAACAGTGATAATAAACTATATATTTTAACATGACATATTTTGAGTATTTTCACCTCAAAGAAATGATGTGTTTGAGGAACACATCCTCTGATTTGAGCACCCAAATTGTATGTATTTATACAAACATTACTTGGATCCCTGCAAATGGATATTGCTATATGTGTTAATTGAAATGAAAAATAAAATTTGATAAATAATAGAGTAATTAAAACAAAAATGAGGATATATAGATAAATAGATAACTGCTCTTCCACAGCCCAAGTTGCATTTCAAGCCCCAATATGGAGACTCACAACCATCTGTAACTCCAGTTCCAGGGGCTCCAATGTCTCTCCTGGCCATACATGTGTGTCATACACTTACATACAGGCAGACAAAGCACTCCTACACAAAAAATGAAATTTAAAAATCTAAAAAAAACCCAAACTATATTTTCCTTTCCAAGTTACTCCTACACATAAAATGAAATGAAATTTCTAACCCCCCAAAACTGTATTTTCCTTTCCAAGTCTATTATAAAAGTAAATAAAAATGGAACAGTGACCCTTTCAGAGGACATTTATTGCTACCATGAGAAAGAACAACATCTTTGCTATGAAACTATCTCAGAAAGAGGAGAAAAAGTCCGGATCACTATGAAGATATTGAATGCCTGTAAGACATGAATGCTAACCAGAGGGAAAATGTACAGATGTGTTTTGAAAAGCTTTCCCAAAGACTTTGAAGACTGATTTCAATTATACAGGAAGAACACTAACCTAACTGAAAAATGCAGTCTGCAAAAAGAAGCCTCATCAAGAGGCACCAACTGCAGCAACTCAGAAAGGGAGACAAGGGTGGGAGTGAGAAGCCTATGTCAATCAGGAAAGACCACACATCACTATGAGCACACTGTCCTGCTGAGGGTGTTTCTCAGTGCTCCTTTCATGTCCCGATTCCTCAGACTGTATATAAAGGGATTCAGCATGGGTGTGACCACAGTGTACAACACAGACACAATGACATCCTTGCCATTAGTGTTACTGGAGGAGGGGAAAAAATATAGACCAATAATGGCTCCATAGTACAAAGAAACTACACAGAGGTGAGAGCCACATGTAGACAAGGCTTTGCAGATTCCCTTGGTTGAGGGCGTTCTCAGGATGGTGGCTCCAATATGGCCATAAGAGACCAGAATGCATATCAATGGCACAGTTATGATAACCACTCCCACAGTGACGATAACCAGGTCATTGATGGTGGTGTCTGAGCTAGACAGTTTAAGCAAGGCAGAAAGGTCACAGAAGAAGTGGGGGATTGTATTGTCCCCACAGAAAGAGAGGCGGACAAGCAGGAGGGTGTGCACAAGGGCACTGACAAAGGACAAGACCCAGGACACAACCACTAGTAGGATACAGAGGTTCTGACTCATGATGGTGGTATAGTGCAGAGGGTGACAGATGGCCACATACCTGTCATAGGCCATGGAGGTGAGAAGGAAGCTGTCAAGATCTCCAAAAAATAGGAAAAAATACACCTGGGAGACGCACCCAGCATATGAGATGGACTGAGTGTGCGTCAGCATGTTCATGAGCATCTTTGGGGCTGTGACTGATGAGAAAGAGATGTCTGTGAAGGCCAAGTGGCTGAGGAAGAAGTACATGGGGGTGTGGAGGTGAGAGTCCAGCCTGATGAGCAGGATGATGAGCAGGTTCCCCAACACTGTGGCCAGGTACATGGCCAGGAACAGGGCTGAGTACATGTCTTGGTGCTGTGGCCAAATGGGGAGCCCCAGCAGGATGAACTCAGATGTGCTGCTCTGGTTATTCCTTCTGACACAGCTCATCTTCTCTTTTCTGGAAACAAAATGAGATAGAAATGTGAAAAGGAAGTGCCTATGGCTATTATACAACAAAAGCCCTATCATGTTTGAGCCAGTTAGTTTGTTCATTTCACCACAAACCAGAAGCTTTTGTCAATACTTGCAAGTAGTGATGGTTTGCTCCAGGGAAACCACCCCAACATCTTGTGGAGAATATGGGAAGCATTGCTTTGGGAGTTCATGGTGGAAATCTGAGATTAGGTAACTAGGATGTAAGGTCAAGTGAGTAAATAGTTAATTAAAGAAAAAGTAGATGATCTGCAGCTGTCTACCTTATGCATGCCTCAGAAACACACATGGGCAAATGCCTTATTTTCAAGAGCTGGATTAAAATGATTGGACCCACATTGGGCTCTTTTGATACTTTACCATATCAAGAATTGGAGATCTAGAGGCAAGTGCATGCGTTTGATGTACGAAGATTCCAGAACAAACCTAAAATATTGCCTGACATCACATGTAATCTGGCTACAGTTCTTTATGAATATCTTTTCACGCTCTGTATTTTCAGAATTCCTTTATCCTTCATGGAAAATAGAGGAAAAGACTGTTTCTCCTTCAAATCCTTTGTGGTGTATTTCCTCAACTCTATTGCATTATTCTTTTTCAAGTCCTAGAAATTCTTGACTTTTCTAGTCAAATACAGGAGCTGGAGGAACTGGAATTCTCAATGTATACATATCCTAACAGAAGGAGGGCTTCTTTCCATTGTTTCCAACATTTTGTTTTGAAGCTGTTTTTAACTGATATTTCTCTAATTTACATTTCCAACTTTTTAAAAATAAATGATAACTTCTTTATTTATCCTCCATGTCATTTGGTCTTAGAACCACCCATGAAAATTGTCCCAGCCAGGCGTTGGTGGCGCATGCCTTGAATCCCAGCACTCGGAAGGCAGAGGCAGGAGAATCTCTGTGAGTTCGAGGCCAGCCTGGTGTCCAGAGAGAGTGCCAGGATAGGCTCCAAAGCTACACAGAGAAACCCTGTCTTGAAAAACCAAAAAGAAAAAAAGAAAAAAGAAAATTGTCCCAATAAAATAAAGTGAACATTGAAAAGTGTCAATATTAAAGCAGAATTCAGAGTTGTGATGTTGCTCACTGGGTAAAGGTAACTGCTTCCTGTCACCATATGTAGAATCCCCTGAACCCGCATGATAGAAGAGAGAAGTGACTCTCACAAGATGTCCTCTGACATCTATATGCAGGTCATCATGACTTTCACAGACACATGGACACACAGACGCCCCAACACACACACATGCAGTAAATGTAATAAAAATAATTGCAGTAATAAATAAATCCATATTCAATTAATTGGTAAAGACTTATTCAATCTGAATGCTTTTTTTGAGAGCTTGTACTTGAGAGCTTTGCTTGAGATGGCTTATATTACAGCTCACCATTCATTTTGGAGATAAAATTTATATTTCCTTACAATTTTTCCTACCTTGAATGAATATAATCTCCTTTAGAATTTCTACTTTTTCAATCTAATTATTAAATATTTTTAATGTAACACCCTTACCTTAGATGTACGTAGTTGTTTTACCAATTCCCATGTTAATAATAAACAATTTATTATAATGAAGATGCTAATTAGTTCCTCATTGTAACATTTATATATGTTTTGTGAATTCCTAAAAATGGATTCAGGAGGAGCTTAGATTCATGATTTGATAAATGGGAAATTGCAGAGGCTGGAGTGTTGAGGACATTGAACATTCTTTAGGCTGCTTTTGAAAACTGTGCTGATAGGCGCTCTAGTGCACTGTCTGGTGACAGGAAGGTTAGGGCACATGAAGAACAGACTATTCGCTCCTATGTGCAGCCTACAGCGGCTTCATGTTGCAGGATTACTGAGAATCTAGATTATGGAAATCCTTTCCAGATCAGTAGAACATTCTAGTTCCAGTTACAGAGCTGTGGGAACTATTGGTGCACCCAAGAAAGTGCTTAATAAAAGAAGTAACCACAAATCTAAATGAGTTGCTGAGTGTTTTCCACAGGAATACACGATTGCTTCAATAATTTAGACATAACACCCACTTATGCTTGGATTGTGGCAGCAAAAAATGAATGAAATTGAAGGGATGTGGAGTAAATTTGGAAGAAAGCTCACCAAAATATACTGAGAGATAAAGATAAACAAGAGGGGATATTTTCCACTCTCTTCTCAAGAAATAGATACAGACTAATTTTGAATGAAATTATTATATATAATTAGGTTTTATACTATCATTTCAAAATTTGGATAGTCAGTTGAAGACAAATTTCCATTTTGAGTTATTGACATTCTATATTAGACATGGAATTCACAGTTAATATCACACTGTGGATATACACAAATGCACAGACAGTTCAATCATCACTCAACATCTGCCTCTATGCCTTTTTTCATAGGACCTCTTAGGTGATGAGAACAAATATCTTCAACTAAAAACCTGGCAAAATTCTTCCATTTATTTCAAGGTGATGTAGAGGATGGTAAAACAGTACCTCTAAGGACCTCCAGATCACACTTCAGTAGGCAAAAGAATTATAAGCTCACAGCAAAACAAGATAGATACAGCAATATACATTGGGTCAGAACTCCTGAAAAATTGGCATGGTTCATAATTTTTTAAACCTTCAAGAGGACCCAGGGGGCAACACTCCCATACCAAGCCCAAATTAAAAAACGTAGGATATAATTGCTTTATTGCCTAGGGCCCCTCTGGGAGTGGAGCTACTTACTGAAGAACACATGAGGGTTTACCCTTGGATAACTCATGCTATTAATGACAAAATAACCATCAGGAACTTGGTGGTTCACAAAGATTTTTGCTTTTCAGCTTCTCTCAAGGAAAATGTAATTGAGAGTCTGTAATGACCCAAACTGAAGGTTAAGAGTGAGAAGCAAAGTCTCTTGCTTACTTTAAGACATTGTGTGGTGTGGGGGTATACATGTGCAGGATGTGAATGAGTACACATGATGCCCACACACGTGTATGGAGGCTGGAGTTCAATGCAGGAGTGTCTTTCTCACTGTTTTCCTAGCTCTTTTTTGAGACCATATCTCTCATTGAAACTGTAGCTCACTCGATTGTTGGTCAGCTAGCCCAAGAGACGGTCTATCTCCATCTCCCCACTGCAGGGACTATAGTCAAACGATACCATGCTCAGTAATTTTTTTTAAAGTATTATGTCTTTGAGAATTTCATATTGTATCTTCAATTCTTTTCCCATTTCATCCCGGATCTACTTCCCATTTCATACCCTCACAACTTTGTGTCCTCAAGTTTTAAAAATCCATCAAAGCTCATTGGTGTGTCTATACACTATTAGGTGTGTGACCATCCACTGCAGTGACTCTACCAAGGGCCATGTTCTTGAAGAAAACCAAATCTTCTTCTGGAAGCTATCTATTCCCACTAGCTCCAAATAAGACTTCATGCCCACACCCACCCCAACGCTGGGATTTTATGTGGCTTCAGGTTTTATAGGTCTTATTCATGATGTCTCAAGCACTGTCAATTTATATGTACTTACCCTATTGTGCCCACAAGGACCAGAGACTATGGATGACAACAGCAAGCTAATTTTTATGTGCATGTGCATATGTGTATGTATGTTCACTGTGTATATCCAGGAGCACACAGAGGTCAGAAGAGGTGATTGGATCCCATGGATCCAGAGTTACAGGATGTTGTGAGACACCGTGTGGGCTCTGGGAACTGAACCTGGGTCCTCTGTAGGAGAAGCAAGTGCTCTTAATCACTGAGCCAACTCCAAATTAAATTTCTGATGTTTAACTTTTTTTCAAGTTAAAATAGAGAGGAATTCAGAGGTCTACAGCTGGGGAAGTATTTAAATTTCAGTCTCTCAATGATGGAAATATTCAGGCTCACTGGTCCATTCGGCTTCCAACTTTTAAACTTTTGTTACTCTTATTACTCTTCTGTTTGCAGGTTTTGTCTATTAAAAATCATGTATAGAATGTAATCAGGTAGGTTAAATTTAATAGGTGATTTTTTGTCCTTAATCAGAAGTGTGAGGAACTTTTAAGAAAAAGTGGTAGACACATTTAGACTTCTATAGTGAAGGAGCTTCTGAGCAGAGGGGCCCTGTTCACAGAGACAGGTAAACCTTCCTAGAAACCATGCTTTACTACAGACCTGCAATTCTCAGCCTACCCAACACTTAACATAGTTCCTCAAATTGTGGTGGTCCCAACCATAAAGTTATTTCATTGCTACTTTATAACCATGATTTTGCTACTGTTAGGAATTGTAATGTAAATGTCTGACATGCAGGATCTCTGATATGCAACCCCAAAAGGGTTGTGACCCACAGGCTGAGAACTGTTGCTATAGCTGGCATTATTGATCAGTGGCAAGAGTGTTTAATGTACAACGAAAACAGTGAAACATCTCAGATTTTACAGAGGCCAATGTTGTACTAATTTGATCTATTCTAATAGAGACAGAGGGGAATCAGTTATTTTAAGTGTTCAATAACAAGGCTCTGGGGAACTGTGTTTCCTGACTTCTTGGATCTATAGACATTCAAAGTGGATTTGTTCACCCTCTTCAAGGGATTAGTCTGATGAAAGAGCACCTCTCTCTCTCTCTCTCTCTCTCTCTCTCTCTCTCTCTCTCTCTCTCTCTCTCTCTCAAGTCAGGCTTCAAACTGAAAACATAAAATACTTCAGAATTCCTCAAAACCTCATCCAGACAGATTCAGATTTGTCTCAGATCATCACAAGTTTTCAGGAAAAAAAACAAAACAAAACCAACTCATCCTTCTGGATTTTTCTCTTCCAGCAGACGAATGTAGCCATGACAGCTCCAGCCTTCCATTCAGATATAAATTCGATTTGTCTTTTTAATCTTTTGTTCACTTCTTAGATTCCTCTTCATCTAGAACCTTGATACACTTTTCTCCAAGCTTCTATTTCTTCTCCACAGTTTTCAATCTCCATTTAAT